TTTTTTTTTTTTTTTTTTGACAGCAAGAAAATGTTAGGTAAATATTAATATCTGTTGTGTTATTGGAGTGTCGAATCTCGAAAATGGATACGGTTCCATCTGCTGCACAGGGAATATAGCCATCACTGGGCCACATGCATTGTGGGAGCATTGAATCTCGAAAATGAGTGCAGTTCACCTAGTGCACAAGGAGTATAGCTATCACTGGATCACATGCAGGTTTGCTTGGAAATTTGTTTTAGTCAATTCAGCGAAAAAGAAAAAGACTTCGATTCTAAGAAAGTTAAGAAGGCCACAAACAACTTAACAAAGAAGCATGGTGATAAAAAAACAAAGGAAAAAGAAAAAGCTTGAACACGAAGTTCAGAATAGAGAAATTAACAGCGTTACGTACGAACAGCGAAAGATCGAAGTTTTTATTTCTTGCTTGATACCAGCTGCTCTGCTTTCGGGCATCAAAGTTTAAACTTTGGAACCATTACTAAGCTTGTCGCCTTGACCCCCAGGTGGCGTAAGTTTCTTCTCCATAAGCAGCTTCGTCTCCAATTTCCATTATGTCCTCCTCCGACATTCTCGGAGGCACAACCAGTTGCACCAGTAGACATATTAAGGTTGTACTCACGATGTTGATTATAACAACGAACAGAATCCCCAGCAACTGAACTCCGATTTGTCTGAATCCAGCGCCCACTCTACCTGACTGGAATCCATAAAACAGGCCAACATGGTGCCCGTATGTACCGTAGAACAAGTAATTCAGCCTTGGTTCGGCAAAGAGAACGCCTGGGATTCACCCTAGGCTACCGGAAACGGCGTGCGTATGCAGCACCGCCATCGTGTCATCCACCTTCTGAAGAAGCTCCGACTTCTTATGGACGATCATAGTTGTGAACCACGGGATGGAACCGGAACGGAGCCCCATTATTATTGCTGCCCATCCTTGTACCACTTCCGGTAAATTAATCAAATTGTGTCATGTTCATCAACCCATTTCAGGTTTTTGCAAAAAAGGAAATTTTTTACCGGCAGCCGGAGTGATGCAGACCAGGCCCGTGATTTGTTGAGATCCTCACACTTCCTCTTTTGAAAAAAAAAAAAAAAAAAAAAACCTCCACGCTATTTAGCACGGGATTTTGAGTCTTGCGTGTCTACCATTTCACGACCGCAGCATCTTAAAAGGGAATCATATTTCACTGCATAAGAAAAAACTTATCGATTAAATATCAAAAATATTATTTCACCTATTAATAATTAATTTTAAAATAAATATAAATTTATATTAAACTTATATATATAATTTTCACGTAATATCAAAATTTAAAATCTATTTTTATCCATTGAACAATACATCAGTGCTGAGGATGTTGTTCGGAGGAAGCCTATTCCATAGGATTATAAAAGATCTGGAGTTCAAACATAAAAAGTCAACAACTAAAAAGATAATTTTTTTTAAAAAAAAAATTTAATTACACAAGAGACAACATCAAAATGTGAATTTTTTTTTTTTTTTAATGTTTCTTACCCAGTAGGCTGCTGTGAAACCGGTAACTCCTGAAGATAAGTGGATGACCCAGCCACCGGAGGAATCAATTATGCCCATCTTGAAGAAAAACCTTCAAGACTCCGAAGTCCAAACACTAAATGCTACAATGGTATAAGAAAATGTTAACCAGAGGGGTGCAAATAACATCCAAGCATAAAAATTCATGCGTCCTAATACCGCTCCAGCGATGAGAATCAAAGTGATGGCAGCAAAAACACAATGGTCTTATTTGGGAATTTCCCAGAAAATGTCTGACTTAAGAGAAATTTTTGGCCCAAGCGATATTTGCAGCTCCCCAGAACCCAACCATCCTATCCCCAAAAGACAGTCTGTAACCCCAAAGAACCCACCACACAAGGACGCATGCAAATGCATAGAGTACCATGAAAGCTGAGTTCACCGCCCATTTCTTCTTCACTGCGCGTCCGTACTGGATAAGAAGCCCTGAAACACTCTGGAGGCCCACGAGGGTGGCTGCCGTTAGCTGCCACGCATTGTCACCTTTGTTCATCCATCCGGGGCTAGATTCGAAGGGAGAACAAAAGAAGTTAATCTGTCATTAGATCCACGTTGCATTATCCATCTTAGTTTCTCTAAACACTGACAGAATCAAAGGGAATGGTGGGATTATTATATCGAGAAGATTCATGTTTTTGGTTACGTCGACAAGCGGCTAGCTGTGATGGTGT